CTCTTCAAGAACATGAGTCCCTCCGTCAGCCAGAACACACGCAGACATCCAGGGGTATCCTCCCCAAAGATGCACAAGACTATCCAACAAACACCAGGAACATGAGGGCACCGAAAGAACATCCTTCAAGAACGCGGGACCCTCCGCCGGGCAAAGCACGCAGACATCCTCCCCAAGATGCACAAGAACATCCAACATACACCTAGAACATTAGGGTACCGAAAGAACATCCTTCGAGAACATGGGACCCTCCGCCAGCCAAAAATCCAGGGGCATCCTCCCCAAGATGCACCAACAAACACCAAGAACATTAGGGTACCGAGAGAACATCCCTCGAGAACATGGGACCCTCCGCCAGCCCAAACACACAGACATCCAGGGGTACCCTCCCCAGGATGCACAAGCACATCCAACAGACACCAAGAACATCAGGGCCCCCTCCCCGAGCCCACCTCGGTCTGAGACCTCGGCCTGACCAAAGCAGAACGTAACCTCCTGGTCGCCTCCGATCCTGCCAGGCTTTTTTTGCCCCCGCGAAGCCCGTGAAGGTCGAGGGCGGGGGAGGGGTCCTCCGCCCTGGGCCCCTGCAGAGGGGCCTCCGGAGGCCTCCTGCAAAGGGGCTCTGGGGACCTCTGGGGGTCAGGAACCGGGGCGGGAGCAAAACTTACTACGTGAAGGCATTGGATAAGGAACCCTGAGATAAGGAATCCCGGGTCTGGAAGCTGGTGGAACATCAATTGGGGCTTGACAATGGATATCACCGCCGCCCTCATCAGATAAGGAACCCTCCAGGGTCTGAAGCCTCCCTGGCACATTCCTTAACCAACGCCCCCACCATACCCGATGCGCAACACGCAACGCGTAGCGTGTTGGCACGGAGCTCAACACATAGACCGACTAATTGCGTAGGTCTGGCGCGACACGTGCGCCAACACGTGGGCTAAGGCGGTGAGCCAACACGCAGCGAGTCGGCACGGACGTTCTGAACACGGTACGTGCTGCGCTTCAAAATGGGCGTTGCAAGGCAGCGAAGCTCCGGAGGCCTCCTGCAGGGGG